GCTATGAAGACATCCAATATGTGCCCCTCCCAAATCGTACCACCATTAAACATTAAGGCTTAATGTATAGTGGTCTTAAAGCCTAAAAACCCAAATTTATGCAAAACATATGGGCAATTGTTTTCGCCACTGTACATATCCCGAGCATGTTAACACTGGGTTTCTTGACAGCTGCTGCGGTCACCACATGGCACCATCAAGTCAATATCTTCTCAACTGGCAAGACCTGCCACAAGGAGAGAAGTACAACATCACAGTTGCTAACAATCAAGTTATTGAAGCAACCGGAATCGGATATGTGATACTCGAGTCCAACGATACATAAGTCTCACTTCACCTTAACAAGGTTATCGTCGTTACAAGACTCGGCTTCAACCTATTATCACAAGCGCAGCTGATGGAAAGCGGCATCTGTTTCGTCAGCACTGCCAACACGATGCTCACAGAGTTGTACCTGGGCGACAAGAAGGCCGACAAATGTAATTTAGTCTGCATCGCAAAAATCAAAGATGTCGTTTCTGTTCTTCGGTTTTCTCGTGTCAAGGCATCTGGCGACAGTGAGAAGAACGTCTCACTTGCTCCTTGACATCATTACTGAGAAACAAATCTTCAACACCAAGACCACCGAGGTCTCAATGTCTTCTACATTACGCATCAGCCTTCTCGCACCAAATCCCTCGATGAATCTGCAACAGAGCCAACAGAAGCAGCATCAGCAGCAGTAGAAATAGTTCAAAGTACATGGGCATCTAGAGATGGAAATTGGGGTTACGACAATCAAGAACCGACATCTGCTATAGTCGAAGAACCTATGGAGGTTGAACGCACATGGGGCAAGAAAGAATTAATCGTACCTGATGCTTGGGCGCGTCGCCGACATCTCGGCATACCTTGGGTTGAAACTGTAGAAGAAGCCGGGTTCATCCAGCCTTTCCACAGCAGCCGCTACGTTAAGCCTTCGCCAACGATTCATCTTTCGCCGGCCTTCTTCCTTCACTCCGACTTGTACATGCGTTCAAAGGGACACAGGACTACAGCAGAAATCTGGCACAAGCGGTATAGGTCATCCCTCGCAAGTAGCTCTCAACAACTCCATTAAAGCCTCGGTTTTCAACGAGGACGCACTCATTTTAACCAACGGCCAAGTTCTTCGACCTAACAGTCGTCAACTATTATGTACCATCTACCCCGGAGCTCACCTAAGTCACTCTCCATTCCCGTCGCACTTTCCAAGTGCTACTAAGTACTCACCTATGGATGTTATTTTCAGCGACATACTCTTCATACCGCTGGAAGTATAAGATATCAGCGGCAACGACTCCTGCTATATCATTACCTTCATCGATGGTGCTACTCGATACGTCTGGCACAAGTATATCTCTCACAAGTCTGAAGCTTTTGACGCCTTCAAACTATGGCTGAAAATCGTGGAGCGGCAGAGCGGCATCAAGCTGAAAGAGATCGAGACAGACAACGCGGGCGAGTACACCAGCAAGCCGTTCAATGAATTCATGGCGCAGAAATGAATACTCAGGCGCAAGACTGTACAATAATCCCATCACCAGAGTGGAGTAGCTGAGAGAACTAACAGGACGCTGCAAGAGAAGATGCACGTGCTCCTGCAACAGTCCAGCTTGACAGCAGATTTTTTGCCGTTTGCGATGGCGCAAGCTATCTGCCTACACAACTGCCTATCTTCAACAGCTCTTCCTCAGTTCGGCTCGCCACACGTCATGTGGACTAAACACCTCGCTGACACTCGACTTTTACGAGTTTGGGGCTACATGGTCAAATGCAGACCTCCGAGGGCAACTGTGGGAAGATTTATTGAACGCGCTCGCTGGGAAAACATCTTGGTATACCCAAAGATTCCTACTCCTGGATGATTGTGGATTACGAAACCCGAAAGGTTTTGTATGCCCGAGACTACATCTCGCTACGGCATGACGCGCGTCCTTCCATATAAGGTATCGCCCTACTAGTACAGTCTACGTGTTATATCAGGAATGCATAAGTAAATTATATTCAGTATACTTCAACATAGCCTGAATTTTGAGGGCCAGCTACCCATGTATTTGGTAAGTGCTCTTCATGCTCGTGGAGTTTACATAGACTAATGGTTTGGATAACGATATAGTAAAATACTTCTCTTCTTTAATGAGGCGGCTATAGAGAGCAGTGGAGTTCCTAGGATCTGGGGAAGTATAAGGTACAGGCGAAGCACCCTTATGGGGTGAGGAGCGCGCTATTGGTCAGTATAGACTCCACCAATCTGGCTCGTCGTGCAAGTCATACGAGGTCCGTGTTTGGCGCGCACATATCCCAGCACGGACCGCAGCCACGTCGGTGCAATGTTGAACATCTACACTTCTTCCACGGAACACTCCGTAGCGTTCGACTCCAGATGACACTTACATTTCCTTCGAAAATGTGGCGAATTTTTCGTCGAGCCGATCGCGATTCGCGACAGCCACGTGACTCTCGAGTAAGACACTTGAAACCTAACAGAACAGGATGGTAGTGGCCGAAAAATCACTGTGGAAGTATCCGCTACAATTCGTTTCGTTAGGGGTTACTGGCACTACCGACACTCTCCAGCACGGCTCGGAAATTGAGACTGAGTGTTCCCTGAAAGAGGTGTACAAGGTTCGCAACAGCCAGTCTTGATTCAGGTGGAAACAACTGTGCGGTACAAAGTTTTCACGTTAAAGGCATCGCCGAGACAGACGTATGTTCCTCACACTGCCTTAAGGGATTAATGATTAACCTACAGCTAAGAAGAGCGTGTGGCAAGAAGTCAAAATCATGGGACCGGACTGGAGATCAGGTACAACGGTGTACAGTTTAGTTTTGTTCGTTACTAGATTATGTTGAAAGGTAGAGGAGTAAATGATCGAATAATAGGAGCGGATGGTCCACCCAATCGTACTTACAATACGCCCTCATAGGTTTCAAGAGAGCAACTCTCAAATATATCTGGATAGATACTGCTATTTCACATCTTGTTAGGAAATAACCAGATATGAATCATATAAAGAGTATTGAATTATATTTTAGGGATGCAATAAAAATATATAAAAACATAGGGGCCCGATACTCGACTTGGGATGACATCGACCTGAAACACGCACGGGGCCACGAGCGTAGGTTTGATGCTATCCCAAGTTGCAAGGATAGGCCTCATGGGTTTTAGATTTTTAGCGTTACCCTAAAATATTGTTCCAGATTCTATGATGTATTCGTTTCGCTAAAGAATATGATCGATCGATGCATGTGCCCCAAAAATAGTCCCTTAGTCTGATATTTTTAAACAAATAGCTTATTAGTCTAACATTTAACTTAGTAGTTTTTTTGTAGTTCGCACGAAAACAAGACCGTATGAATGCAGTAACCATGTTTGTAAACTACTACCGTGCAAATATATTTCAATACGGCCCAAATTGTAGAAATAATCTAACTTTCGAACAACATGCTGTATGAACTTCGGCGTTTTGAAACCGCAAACCTGGAAAATAATGTGACACGATCACTTTTTAACCCTGGATTGATTTGGTGAGTCTTGATAAGCCTCGTCTATACGATCAAACCTCGCATGGTAACTAGCGACTCTATGTTATGTGCCTATGTGTGAGCAGGAATAAGAGAGTCATTATAACATCTAGATTGGAGTGAAACCCCACGGGTAGTAAGATGGACCGTTCTTAGATTATACAGCTTAGCGTCCCGTTTGCATGGCAGAACCTGTAGTTTCAGACCGGATGTCTACTACGAATTTGTAAGATGCAACGGGTGTTGTGCAAAACGATCACCTGAGAACTTATCATAGCCGATGACATATGACTGTAAACCAGCGTTGTAACTGTTCTGGTTCCTTTTGTCCAAATGCCGCATTCCTCCTCGCGAGTGTGGGAGCAGGGCTATTTTTGGTTTTAGGGCACCCTTACAGATTCAGATTCATTGGAGACAAATCCTTAAGTTTCAAGGTTCGGATGACCCTTACCCTTAGACGTGAGAAGCGAGATGGATTCTCTATACTAGATTCCCTCAGGAGATAGGGATTGCGCTAGGGTGGGAAATGGGTGGACTGGTGAAAGCTGAGTTCCACATCCTTGCTACTTCACGGCTCGTGCATTCCGGGTAGTAGAGCTATCACTCAAAATCTGAAGAGCTCAGCAAGACACTACCCTTAAGTTCAGGGATCAAAAACTCGAGTCCATAACGTTTCGGGCTTTTCTGAAAATGCTCTTTATTCAGCTCAAATTCAGGGCAGTAACCCTTAAGCATTAGTCGTGTGTGGGAGTCTGGCAGAACTGTTGGCGAAAAGCCCTTGACCACCATGTTGGGAGTCAACGACTTCGACATCCACCCCAAAGCTGCCCCCAGCCGTGTGTTCGTGTGAGGTGTACTGCTGTGCAGTGAGCTCCACTGCCAGCACTGAGCAGCACTGAACCTCCACGCACCTCGCCCAGCCATTCACACCCAGGTCTTCAGGTCCTGGTTTAGGGCGCGGGACATCGGTTACGTTACGTCAAAATTCGAACCATTACGTATTTTTGGGCAGTAAGAACCATTCCAGCAATGGTTCGAAATACCTGCCGAACCATACATGTTGGTAGGTGCCAGCCTGTGAGGTTCCAAGTTTTGAAATTCTAACTCCCAACTTCGAGTTTGCGCGAAGTCCAGGGAAATTTCGCCACCATACAATTGTTTTCGCGCCAGGCTTTCCTGAGTTCGCCGACCGCCAACAGGGTAGGCAGTTCGTGCGTGACGGAGTGGCCGTTCGAATGGGTAAATTCGTGGACGCATGTTCCATCGCCAGAATAAATTTGGGCGAGGAATTTTGCCAACATGCGAAAAGCCCCTCACGAACTCACGAGATCAGTAACCACCCAGAAATTCATATTGTTTTCGAAATTACGAATTGGATGTCCCGCGCCCTTAGACCTTGCAGACTGGGATCAGGTCCGCGTTGCGAAAACATAGACCTCGCAGAGTCAGGTCAGGCGCCGTTTGCCACCCTTTTGTGCATGCATGGGGGTTTTCATCATCCTACTCTGAACCTGAGCCCCGGTTGGCACGCATGCTCCACTTTTGAACGAATCACACGATTCTTGGGCAATCTGGCAGTCGTGCTTTTGGGATCCCCTTTTGTGACGGTA